TCAAATTAAAAATGAGTGAATGAATAAATAAAACTGAATAAATAATTCTTTAAAGAAAAGTTGAAGAAACTTAAAAAACAAACAAACAAACAAACGACTGTATGGTATGTGACCATGAGGTCGTTCTGCCTCTGTTATCATGGAGTTCAGCCCGCCACTGCCGCCCAAGGGTCCCTGACACTCCTCCCCTCCAATTCTTGACTTTTGCCTTTAAAACCATCCTGGATAGGACCAGCAGATGGTGTAATGACTACGTTGCTGGACGCCCATGTAGTCAACCACGGTTCGAGTCCCGGACCCGGTGGCTTAAACTCACACCGGGCACATGTGCATGCATACCCAAGATCCCGAGAGGAGAATGGAGGAGAAGAGATTGTGGTGTGGCCATCCTTCTGGGGGATGATTTCTCCCTTTCTGTCTCTCTGTCTCTCTCTGTTTTCTAGTGATCACACGTGCCCTATACCAAAAACCTCTCCAAAACAAAAAAAGGATTAAAAAAAAAAAATCCTGGAATCCGCTAAGACCTTGCACACATTATTTGGGTCAACATGGCTACTGCGGCGCCTGGTAATGGTCTTAATTATGGCCTGAATAAAATCTTTACTTACTTTGACCTTCCTTTTCTTAGGATGACAACTTTGAGAAAGTGCAGTGACAAGAACTTCCACCACAGTAGTTTTTTGTTGTTGTTCCATGCCAGAGGATGCGTGTGAGAGACAGAGAGTGAGCACACCCTGGTGGGACCTGACCACGCCACCATCATTTTTACTTCCATCTCTAGCCCATGAAGATCCTAGGCACAGGTGCACCTTGCATGCCCAGTATGTTTTTCAAGCTGCTGGGGCTGGGAGTCGAACCGCAGTTGGCCATGTAGAAGGCGGCTCCCTCTGCCCAGCACTTAACTGCTGTGCCACATGGCTGGAAGCACATCAGTATTTCATTAGTGCCTGTAGGACTCTGTAGACATAGTGTTTGAAAATATCACTTTTCGCCTCGTTCACATCCCACATGATGAAGTTTCAAGAAGGTTCCTTGCACTTCTCTTCTATTTTCTTCCTTCCTTCTCTAGACGCAAGCATCTTCCCAGACGGGGTTCACATGGCCCTTCGTTTGTCACACACGCCCAGAGCACCTGCCAGGCAGGATCCAGGGCTAGGAGCTACTGGAGTGAAACGACAAGGAAGGGGCCGGACCGACGCTCTGCAGCATTCCCGCAGAACACACGACCACAGACACACAAACCACTGTGCAGCAAAGATGCCCGCGCCCAGGGAAGCAATCACAGTTCTGTGGTAAGAGTGGGCCACAGAACCATCAGAAGTCCCAGACTTCTGGACACCAATTTACTCCGCCCTCCCTCTGCAAATATGTTCTTGGAAAGCACTATATAATTTTGCATTTACCAGGTCACCTGTCTACTTGGCCACTACACCTAACCAACATACATATATATATATATATATATATATACATATATATATGTATATATACATGTGTATATATGTATATATACATATATATATGTATATATATGTATATATGTATATATACACACACACACACACATATACATGTGTGTGTGTGTGTGTGTTTAAGTTTTGAGTTCAGTCTGAATTCCAGAATTCTACCCCTGAATCAGTTCATTAATCAGTGAAAATGCGGCACCAAATTTCAAAACAGCTGAAAAGGTTGGGAATAAATCAAAGGAATGACAGAAGAGAAAAGTCATTCTAGTGCCTCGATGCAAAAAAAAAAAAAGAGAGAGCAAGAGAAAAGATGAATTTCTCCAAAACTGTAGAAGGGTTAATATTTAAATCTGAATGAAAGATGTCCTCTTATATATGAAACGGTCTTGGTAAACATTGAGAAACTGAATGTTTAAGTTTAATACCTCAAATGTCTAGCAAAATTAATTACCTGTCAAAAATACCCTTCTGCCCACTCCCACACACTCACTCCTGCTTCAATTCAGAAAAGGAAATTAAATTTCACTCTGGCTTAACAAAAACAGATGGCTTTCATACTAAGCAATTTGAGTTAACTGACAGCAAACAGTATCCTACTCAAACATTTTTGGTATCTCCTATTAACTACCAAACCAATATTTAAAGTAGGTACAGGGATTAAAAAAAAGTAAAAGTACTATTCTCCTAAAACAAATTTAAGTGTCAACCTAAAAGTCATAATTCCTCGATTATGGGGTTTTCAAGTATTTTGCTTTTATGCCTAATACACCCTATCGTTTTATTTTTGAATTTTGAAATGATTTTTCTATACACTTAGTATAAAGAACCTCTCACTTGCCTATTTTTTGTTTTCCGCCGTAGAGCTAATCTTATTTATCTAGGATGCAACCAATGAACCAAGAATGGTAACCGAGGAAGAATACTTTCCCTGAATGGTAGGCAAAAGGGAGTATTTTCAGATGGAAGTACTCAGAAAGTCAGAGCACCTGTCAGGACAAGGTAGCCTGACAGCTACAGTGAACAGTTGGTTTTGGGAGTCAATGCTTGAAAATGGACAGAAGTCAGGGACCAGCAGTTAGCGTAATGGCTATGTCACTGGATTCCCATGTAGTCGACTGCGGTTCGCGTCCCAGACCCGGTGGCTTAAAAAACTCACGCTGCAATCCATTCTCCTCCATATTCTTCTTGAGATCTTGGGCATGCATGTACACACACCCAGCGTGAGTTTAAGCCACCAGGTCTGGGACTCAAACTGCGGTCGACTACATGGGAGTCCTGTGACGTAGCCATTACGCCATCTGCTGGTCCCAGCAAAAATCTTAAAAACAAACCAAAACAAAACGAAAAATTTGGTTCCAGCCTGCCTTTCTAACAGTGTGTACGTGTTTCCTCCTGACATGAATCTTTCTAGACAGGACACTCTAAGGATGAAACGGTTCAATACAGCAATCCAACAGCTTCCTTCCTTGCTGTTCAGAACAACTTCTCCCTCTTCCCACTCCACCCACACGTAAATATCTTCCCCATGCCTCTCTGCGCATTCCAAGTCCTTTCAAAATTGATGATCTAGCTGAAAATACACCACCATTTTCCTCTTTACAAAGTCTACAGCATCTGAGACATAGGAACCATGATTTGTCACAAAAATCTAGAGACATTGAGATGATGCAATTTAAGCCCTCCATCTTCCCACCTGGTCATCTCTGGACTGGTACTTATACATGGTCTTTTTTTTTTTTTTTTGAGAAGTTTTTGCTACAGGGCGCGTGAGCTCGCCGGAAAGACAGAAAGAGACAGAAAGCAAGAAATCACCCCCCAGGGGAGATGGCCACACCACAATCCCTTCTCCTCCATTCTTCTCTTGGGATCTTGGGCGCGCACGCACATGTGCCTGGCATGAGTTTAAGCCACTGGGTCCGGGACTCAAACCGCGGTCAACTATATGGGAGCTCAGCGACATAGCCATTATGCTAGCTGCTGATCCCTAAACGTGGTCTTTTCATACATGTACCTCAACAAATAGATTACCAGTTCTTCAAAGTTAAAATTCTCGTCTTCTACATTTTTTGTATGTTCCATAATAAATACTACTAGTTCAGACAATATTTTTGAAATTTACTAGGTTAATCAATAAATGTATCTTCCTCGAATGCATCAAAAATCAGAAGATAATGCTTTCAGTATGCGTGGTGATAAAGTAGGGCATTTGACAGGGTCCCATAAAAATAACAGCACTATGCACACCTCACCCCACCCCCGTTTTTAAAGGTGTTTGCCATAGGGCATGTGAGATAGAGAAAGGGAAAGTGAGAAATCTCCCTCCTCCTCCCCAGGGTGAATAATCATGCCACCATCTCTTCTCCTCCATTCTTCTCCTGGGATTTTGGGTACACATACACATGCACAGGCATGATCTTCAAGTTGCCAGGTCTGGGACTCAAACTGTGGTTGGCCATGTAGGACTCCAGCACCATAACCACCATACCATCTGCTGGCCCCTGCAAATACTGGGTTTTGTTTTTTTTTTTGGAGAGGTTTTTGCTATAGGGCATGTGCGTTTGCAACAAAGAAAGAGAGAGATGGAGAGACAGACAGCGAGAATTCACTCCCCAGGGAGAATGGCCATGCCACAATCCCTTCTCCTCCATTCTCCTCTCGGGATCTTGGGAATGCACGCACACGCATCCGGCATGAGTTAAAGCCACCGGGTTCGAGACTCAAACCGTGGTTGACTACACAGGAGTCCCGCGACATAGCCATCACGCTAACTGCTGGCCCCTGCAAATACTGTTTTTAATCACCAGATAATGCTGGCAGACAAAGCCCAGCGTCATCATCATGTGAGAGAACTTATGAGAGACATGAGACTCTCTGGTAGACCAAGATTGAGGGTGGAACCAGATGTCTGTTTTGCATGTTCTTAATCATTTTTTCAAAAATCTGAGAAGACAATGGTCTCTTTGTTTATATGGAAAATCATTTTTCTTTTTTTTTTTTTGGCTATATCAAAATGAGACCCAGAGCAAACGAGTCACAGCAAAATAAAATGTGCCCCTCTGAAGCTGGGTTGTTTTCAATGAGTTTCTTCCCGGAGCCTATCCCATCTCCATGGATGGTAGAACTCCTACTGCTTCCAGTGTGGTTTTCACCTGAGTAAATCACATTTGATTATTTTCTATAACCTTTTTTCTAGAATCTCTGTGGGTCAAAAATAAAAGAGAGGCATTTTACAGCGTTTAACATTGTCAAAACAACTCCGGGCTTTATGGCCCGTAATTGGGAGCCCACGCTATGGGGCACTTAAGTATATTAAAAACGTGCCTTTCAAAGTTATTATCACTATAAATCACTCTCATGTGAATCTAAGATCATACTAATACATGCCACAGAGCAAGAATCAATGCACCCCAGAACGGAAACTTAATGAGATACGATATCCCAATCGAATTACGTTTCATTGAAGTGGTTTGTACTCAGTACTGAGCGTATTGACGGAAGTGAGAAGCGAGAGGTAAAGCAGTATGAAACTCCTACCTTGTGTCTGTTTCTTGTTCACTGCGTTATCAGCTTTGTGTCGTTTCTAAAGAGTAAGAGCAAAAAGAACAACTGTGAGGAAAGGAATGAGATTAATTAATAGCAATTAATAAACCACAAGAGCATCCACAACAAAAGAGAGCTTTCTTTCTTTTTTTTTGTTTTGGAGAGGTTTTTTGCTATAGGGCGTGTGTGCTCGCCAGACAGAGAGAGACAGAAAGCGAGAAATCACCCCCCAGGGGGGATGGCCATGCTGCAATCCCTTCTCCTCCATTCTCCTTTCGGGATCTTGGGCACGCACGCACACGCGCCTGGCGTGAATTTAAGCCACCGGGTCCAGGACGCGAACCATGGTCGAGTACATGGGAGTCCAGCGACATAGTCATTACACTAACTGCTGATCCCCAAGAGAGCTTTCTTTTAACTTGCGTTTCTCTGTGTTCTAATTCTTTCATGTCAATGTTGCAGGCATGCAGGGATGGGGGTACAGCACACGCTGGAACAGACAGGACACTCAGGGGTTCTAAAGCTGAAGGCAGAGTCTACAGCATGTCTATACCACAGCACGTCTATACCACAGTCCTTTCCCAGAAGCACAGGTCTGTCAGCCTCAGAAGGATCTTACATTAGCACGTAGGCACGATTCAAATCTTAATATACTTCTAAAAGTTTGAACTGAAAGGCTGAGTTAGTCTTTTGCTTAAATAACTCACTTAAAAAAGAAGAAGATTCCCCAAGAGAATCGTCTATAATAACTACCACTTAATAACGGTATTAAATTATTTTCAGCTTATGAAATTCATTACCTAATTACGCCGAGTACATCCTCTGTAATTGAATGAGGAACGGGTGTCTGTCAATGACTAGAAGGAAATACATCTTCCCCTTCCACAAGGGCCCTTCTCTTACCCTCCAACACGCTCCTCACCACTTGCAGCTACAAGTCACTGAATCACAGAATCTTAGTCTTCCCCCCAAAAGCACCTACAAAATGAAGTGTCCAACAAGTGCTTCAGTCAAGCCTAGGTAAGTACATAGGAAGAGTTACATAAACCGAGATTTTATAGCCATGAGTAAGGGAAAAAAATAAATAACAAGTTTGGGGCCAGCAGGTTGCATGGTGATTAAGGGCGCTGGACTCCCACATGGCCGTCTGCGGTTCGAGTCCTGGACCTGGCAGCTTGCCTTCTCACTTTCTCTCTCTCTGGCTCCCTCTCTTGTCAAACTAAAATAAAAACGTTATAAAAAAATAGCAAGTCAGAGGAAAGGTGAGAACTTTTTGAGGGACCAGGAGAAGCTATCCTCCATGCAGTTCAATTGGAAGTTTTCCACGACTGAATGTACAGTACTAAGTAAAATACCTCAGACTCTCGTAACACTGCAGAGAAGTGTTGTGTGTAACTAATCTCTGCTCCAAGACAATCTCATATAAAGTCTAAAGTCAAATGGAGGTGTGAAACCTGGGTTACACAAATGTAACATAAACGAACTCCCAAGTTTTCCATCTGAGAAAAAAAAAATACGGTTGTCAGAATTATCGTGCTCATATGAAGACACGCTCCAAAAGAGAAGTCTAGAGTGTGAATCTGCACGCCTGCAAGAGATCCGCCCAAGAGGAGTGGGTAATACCAGGCAGCATGAACTCAGATTATTTAAACCATCAGCCACGGAACAGCACAAATACAAACACAGCCTTCCAAAAACCTCTGCGGAAGGATTGTTGAAAATGAAAAAAATGGGTCTATACAGGAACACGCTACAGTTATGACTCAGTGTAAAAGAGACGTGAATAACAGTGTATTGCTGTGTTTTTATTTTACTTTCATCTATTTTTATTATGTATTTATTCATTTATTTATTTAGTTTAGTGTTTGGTCAAGGATGCATGAGCTTTCTGGAAAGAGACAGGGAGAGAAAGAGGGAAAGTGAGAAATCATCCCCCAGAAGGGGTGGCCATGCCATCTTTCCTTCTCTTTCATTCTCCTCTCAGGATCTGGGCCACACATGGATACATGCCTGGTGTGTTTTTCAAGCTACCAGGTCCAGGATTTGAACCATGTTATCAGCTATGTGGGATCTAGCCACCTTAACCTCCATGCCACCTGCTGACCCAATTGTAATTTTTTGTTGTTGTTGTTGGAGAGTTGTTTTTTTTTTTTTTTTTTTTTTTTTTTTTTTGGATAGGGTGCATGCTCTCGCCAGAGAGAGAAAGAGACAGAAAGCGAGAAGTCACCCCCCAGAGGGGTTGGCCACGCCTCATTCCCTTCTCCTCCATTCTCTTGTTGGGATCCTTGGCACGCACGCCCACATGCCTAGCGTGAGTTTAAGCCACCAGGTCTGGGACTTGAACCGTGGTTGACTACATGGGAGTCCAGTGACATAGCCATTACGCTAACTGCTGGTCCCAGACCCAATTGTAATTTTAATAGACAAATTATTGCTTCCAAAAGTAAGCACAATACGCTATAAGATATTCTTAGCTGAATTGTTAAAAGTTTCTTCATTGTTAGAGAATATTTTATGAATGTAACACTCTCTAACAGTTATTCTTTGTTAATAAAGATTATAAAGTAGAGAACCAGCAGTTAGCGTAATGGCTATGTCGCTGGACTCCCACGTAGTCGACCGCGGTTCATGTCCCGGACCCAGTGGCTTAAAACTCACACAGGGCGTGTGTGCGTGCATGCCCAAGATCCCGAGAGGAGAATGGAGGAGAAGGGATTGCGGCGTGACCATCCCCCTTCGGGGGTGATTTCTCGCTTTCTGTCTCTGTCTCTCTCTGTCTGTCTGGTGAGTGCACACACCCTATAGTGAAAATCTCTCCAAAAAAAAAAAAAAACAGATTATAAAGTAGTCCTAATCAAGTTTTGGTCCAAAATAACTCTCTAAGCTAAGTTTAGATACTCAAAGGAGGTATAAATATTTCCAAACTAGCACACAACTACTGACAGACAATGGTTAGACTTCCAAGTGAAGAAGACGGATGAAAACTAATTCATGAAACCATCTGCCTCAAATGGGAAATCGGATCTCAGTGAAACCTAAGGTGATCCTGAACATTCCATCCACAGAGGACTCTTACATGGCATTTTCTTTAACCTTCTCACCACAGAATAAATTAGGTCACTTGTCAAGAAACAAGAGTGTCAAATATACAAACGGATCCACCCACGCGGGCGGATTCTAATCTTAGACTACAGAGAGAAAGCATCTAACTTTCGTATTATAAAAAGCATCATTATTCCTTCTGAAACTAATCGTTCAGAAAAATTACGAGTTCAAATACCCCCATATTATAATCAGAATTCATTTGATATCACTGAAAGCCAGTAGATTATTTAGTATAATCAATATTTGACTCACAGTATGTGAACCAACTGTACCGTAGAAACAATGCCAAGAACTTCAGGATACTTAAGTACACACTGTCGAACACGCCCTCCCGGAAACCCTTTCCTCTCAAGGCACTTCTGCTATAGGGTCCCTGAGCTCACCAGAGAGACAGAGAGGGAAAGTGAGAAATCATCCGCTAGGGGGATGGCCAGGTCACAAATTCCCTTCTCTTCCATTCTCCTCTTGGGATTTTGGAAATGCATGTACACGCATCTTGGGTGTTTCTCAAGCCACCAGGTCTAGGACTTGAACTGCCTAGTCAGCCATGTGGACTCCATGCCCAATCATCACACCACCTGCTTGTCCCATCCAGGCATTTCTTATCACATCATTACCCACGTTTTCTACCAGCACCTAGGCCTCTTCTTGTCTCCTCTGCTTGCTCGCTGTTGAGGGACGGGGTTCCTTTGCGCTCACTACCCTGGCCCTCCCCTGTCTAACTCTACGTTCTCTTCCCAGTTCAACGCTTTCACACTTACAGTTTCAATTATAACTGACACATAAATATATTCCAGCCAAGATCCTCATCTGAGCTCCACAGCTATGTGCTCCTGCCTCCTCGACACCTGGTGTGCTCAAGGCATCTCGAACTGCGCCCACGAAGCCACCTACCCTGAGCCTTGGTCTTTGGCTCAGATACAAGACCACACACTGGTCACTGTCACAAACCAGGAACTGGAGTCACGGTTGCACCTTCTTCTCTCTCACATACCTATTCAACTCCTTTCTTCACTCAGTAAATATTTACTGAACACTATGTGCCAGGCCCTGGATTTCTACCGAGGACACAGCAAGGAGCCAGAGACTACAGCCCTCGCTCCCAGGGAGCTTACGTTCTAGTGGGTTTGATGACAACCAAAACAAGTCGAGTATATAGCATGCTGGGTGGTCTTATCCATTTCACACTTCCACATGTATTGTACTTTTCCACTTTGCTCTGAGTCTCCCCCATACTGCTTAGTTGCCACATCTACCTTAGTTCCAATCCATTTTCCATAGTTTAGCCAAAAGGCTCTTTGGATGATGACAACACAGTTGCTGTTTACTCATCACTTACTATACACTAATCATGGTTTAGGTGCACCTTTTCATTCTCATACAGGCCCAGTGGGATGACTTGATTAATGTCCATCTCCGCTATGGGACTGCAAGCTCCATTGGAACTAACTTTACATAGGAGCATATTCCTAATACTCGGTCCCTGCACATTTAGACTTTCCATAAGTAAATATGTAAGGAGATTTTATAATAAAGTCTACTGGAGTTTAAGCTAACAAAGCTATAGCAAGTGAAGGAATGCCTACAATGGTGAATATTTATCAGTTTGACAAACAACCTTGATCTTTACCTTAAGACTTAACGTTGGACACGGTGTGTGTTTTTTATTAAAACTAAGTTTTCCAACAGTTTTAGAATATTTCCAATGCAAGTATAGTATGCCATTTGCTAGTTACGTATAAATAAAGGAAATATATTATGTTTTCAAAAGTTAAAATTCACTGGGGTAAATAAGGTTTAGGTATCGCACATGGAGGTGGTTCTTAATGTTTAATTCTAAAAATGCAAAAACATTGTTGAATAGAATACATAAAAAGGAAGGTTTACTGGAACAGAAGCTGTTTTATTCACTGATGTGTAACTGGTAGACATTACTAGTTTCCACTAATATCCACTTCTTTCTTACTTTTTTGAGGGGGAGAGGTTTTTCCTGTAGGGTGCATGCACTTGCCAGAAAGCCAGAGAGACAGAAAGTGAGAAATCACCCTCCTGGGGGGATGGCCACACCACAGTCCCTTCTCCTCCATTCTCCTCTCGGGATCTTGGGCACGCACGCACACGCGCCCGGCGTGAGTTTTAAGTCACCGGGTCCGGGACACGAACCGCGGTCGACTACGTGGGAGTCCAGTGACATAGCCACTATGCAACTGCTGATCCCCAGATTCCCTACCTTTAAAATGGGTTGACTTCCAACTCTCAAAGCCATTGGCGGAATTAAATGAGAAAAATGTTTGCACAATGCCTAATAAATAATACGGTTCAATAAAAATTAGGTTAAAGGGGAAAAAAGGAATACAAAAGCCGAAGAGACAGAACTGAAGTAAGGACCAGTCCTATGGACGGCCAACCCCGGCCATAACTGAAGGGACGACATGGCTGTGTGGAGAAGTGACAGGTGAGAGCAGGGTCTCTCAAATGTCTCAGCTAGTGGCAGCCAGCATCACTGTCCATCAGCGGGACAAGGATGTTTTACACACTCCCACTCCTAGTCAAAACGCATGCCCAACCTACATGTCTGCTCATACGCACGTAGATGCTTATGAAATCAATGGCTTGAATGTTCAACTGGCCCACGTGTAATATGCACCCTGATGGGCACACATGTAATGCCCCTTGTCTTATTACTGAGATCCCATCTGATTCCACAAAAAGAATGTTAATGTTCATGAACCTTTGCCTTTTTTTTTTTTTTTTTTTGAGATAGATTTTTGCTATAGGGCACATGCACTTGCTGGACAGACAGGGAGAGAGAGAGAGACAGAAAGTGAGAAATCACCCTCCTGGGGGGATGGCCACACCACAGTCCCTTCTCCTCCATTCTCCTCTTGGGATCTTGGGCACGCATGCATATGAGCCCAGCGTGAGTTTTAAGCTGCCGGGTCCAGGACTAGAACCACCGGTGACTACGTGGGAGTCGAGCAATGTAACCATTATGCCACCTGCTGGTCCCATAATGTTCATGAACCTTTAAATGGGAGCTTTCTGAATATGTCAGCCTTTCCTCACCTTAACCACCTGACTTGAGTAAGGCTTGACAGAAGGGCAGCTCAGACTAGGAAGTATTTAAAAAAAAAAAAAAACCACAGAACAAAACAAAACACTGTCTTCCTCAAGTAAGAGGGTTAACATAGGTAAAATATATAAGAAAAAAGCCTGAATTCATTATGGGAATTTACTTTATAGAGGGGAAATTGTACTTCCTCTTTTTGTTCTGCTAGAAAATGATTAAAAATAGCAAGTGTGCTGTAACTTTCTTTTAACAAAGAAAAAGAAACTTAGAATAAAACAAGATAAAGGAGAAACAAAGATGTGGTCAAAACTATGGCTTTCAAGTTAAAAAGTGAAAAAATCCAAAAAAAGTCTTCTATGTTTAGATAACGTGGAGGTTTCTTCATTGAATTGATAATAATGTCAAATACAGCTTTTCCTCTTAGTCAATCACATCCAAATTAATTTCTTTTATTACTACAAACAACAGCACACTGTAACATGCATTCTACAATATAAACCCTATAGCAATCAACAGGAATTAACTTTAGGAATAGGAACACATTCTCTACATTTTTAAGTTGAATGGGCACAGTTTTCATTTTCTCGCATTTTTCTTAATCTCGCAACTAGTTTAAGATTAATTTCACATTTTATATAAAGTTCAGATCGTGACTGTATAATATATATGTGTACATATGGATATATATATACTTTTTAAAATTTTTATTTAATTTTATTCATTCATTCTTTATTACTATTTTTTAATTTGACCAGAGAGAGACAGAGACAGGGGCACAGGGAGTGAGAAAGCAAACCACCAGGTCCAGGACTTGAACTGTGGTCAGCCATGTGGGAGTCTCCAGCACCTTAACCACCATGCTACCTGCCGGCTCGCTATATGTACTTTTCAACAGCAAGCTTAACATTTGTTTGGCTGTTAAATTTTTCTTCCCTTGCACCTCTCACCTGCCCTCTACCACCCACTCTCTTCCACCCACTCAACTCCCATTTGGTCTCTGGTAGCCACACTTACCCTTTCTACTATCATGTCTTTGACTCTCAAATTTTCCATAGAGTGCAAATATCTGGTACACATTGAGGAGGGATATACAGTGTGTCTCTTTCAAGGTCTGCCTCACTTTGCTTAACATTAAGTCTTCTATATTCGCTCACTTTGAATCAAACAACAGGGTCTCACTGTTTCTTATAGTTGAATAATAATCCCTACTATACATATATCATAGTTTTTCAACCCAGTCATCAATTTTTGGATACTTAGGTTAATTCTGTGTTTCAATAATTTTGAGTGATGTTGCAATAAACAACAATTTGCATGGGCACTTTAAACAGAGTATGCCAGGGACCAGCAGTTAGCGTAATGGCTATGTCGCTGGACTCCCATGTAGTCGACTGCGGTTTGAGTCCTGGACCTGGTGGCTTAAACTCATGCCAGGTGTGTATAGGTGTGTGCCCCACATCCCGAGAGGAGAATGGAGGAGAAGGGATTGCGGCGTGGCCATCCCCCCTGGGGGGTGATTTCTCGCTTTCTGTCTCTCTGTCTCTCTCTGTCTATCTGGCGAGCGCACGCGCCCTATAGCAAAAAATCCTCTCCAAAAAAAAAAAAAAAAGAGTATGCTAAAAATTAACTTAACAGGAAACTACTATTTTAAGATCTGTATCTACATATAGAGATACTGACACATACACAAGTCATATTTATAAAAAATTAAATACTTACGATATCTTCTATGATCTCTTTGATAGCTGCCACAGCTAAAATAAATAGAAGAGGGACCAGTGTTGTGTAACGACCCGTTGGCGACACATCAGGTATTTGCTATTTGAAGGAAAAATAAAAGCAAGAGAAGGCCAATGAGGACTAGAACACTCATAACAGATTTGAGAACAGTAATATCTTAGTGCCTTCTAAAACAGGCTTCATTGATTCTACCCTGTAGACAGACTCACTCTGCGTGTGGCAATTTAGTCATCTCTAAATAAAGTAACTGGAAGAACGTGTGAATTAGCATCGTGTTACCATGATGTTACAGCTGTATACTGGACAACACCTACAGTGGGGGATTGCTTAAATAAATTACAGAGGGGGGGACTAGCAGTTATTGTAATGGCTATGTCGCTGGACTCCCACATAGTCGACCGCAGTTCGAGTCCCGGACCCGGTGGCTTAAAACTCACGCAGGGCGCGTGTGTGTGTGTGTGTGTGTGCCCAAAATCCTGAGAGGAGAATGGAGGAGAAGGGATTGCGGCGTGGCCATCCTCCTGGGGGGTGATTTCTCACTTTCTCTCTCTCTGTCTGTCTGGCAAGCGCACGCACCCTATAGCAAAAACCTCTCCCATAAATACATAAATAAATAAATAAATAAATAAATTACAGGGTATCTGTATGCCAAAACATCACGTACCATTAAAATGGTATTTTACAAACACAGTGAATACCTGGGACTATACCCGCTCATTATTACACAAGGAAAGCAAATTATAAAGAAAGATGGATTCTACTGAGCCCAGTTTTGTAAACAAAAATCAATAAACAATGTCTGGAAGGGAACCAAGGAAGGACCACAAGAATATACACTCGAATTTTAAGAGTAGCTGCCCTTGGTGGTGAAACAAGAGTTTCATATTCTTTTCTTTACGCTTTGTGGTGTTTTAAAAATATATATATTTTTTACCATAAACAAATGCTGCTTTTCAATAGAACTATTTTTGTGTGATTATATCCAACTCAAATACAAAGACAACAAACTATTTAAAGTGATGAATCTTACATTCTTTTTTTTTTAAGGGGGGGAGAGGTTTTTGCTATAGGGCATGTGTGCTTGCCAGAAAGACAGAGAGAGACAGAGAGACAGAAGGGGAGAACTCACCCCCCAGGGGTGATGGTCACGCCGCAATCCCTTCTCCTCCATTCTCCTCTCGGGATCTTGGGCACGCACACACACGCGCCCGGCGTGAGTTTAAGCTACCAGGTCTGGGACTTGAACTGTAGTCGACTACGTAGGAGTCCAGCGACATAGCCATTATGCCAACTGCTGGTCCCTAAATCTTACATTCTCAGATTCAGAAGTGACATTTTAAACAGCCGCAAAGGCACAATAATATTTTAAGAAAAAGTCCCGTCCTCCTTTACCACAAAAAAATGAGTAGTTCCTGCCACAGCAAATTCATGGACTGCATTAAATAACCTGGTACAGATGAATGAAAAGCCCTGACGAGGCTGTGGCATTCTGGCACCGCTTGCTCCGACACTGGACATGTGCTCTCAGACCAGCTCGTCTCTGCATCTAGGTAAGCCTCGGGAGGCTGGTCTCCAGCTTCACAAAAACACGCATCAACACCTCAACATCTGACTCTGAACGAAGGTTTGATGACGTTACTTTACCTGAAGCAGTGCAATGAAGAGAAAAAACGAATTGGCAGCCCTTCGGAACTGAGAGTAGAGAAATCGTGGGAGGAATGTGATGATGTTGTATTTCGCAGTGCTGGAAAACAAACACACAAGTGGCAGAAAAATGTAAGGACGTCACAGTGAGCACCCATTTTTACCAAGTTCTGTCACTACCTTACAAAAATGTAGATCCGGGGACCAGCAGTTAGCCTAATGGCTATGTCGCTGGACTCCCACGTAGTCAACCACGGTTCGAGTCCCAGACCCAGTGGCTTAAAACTCACGCCGGGCGCATGTGCGTGCGTGCCCAAGATCCCGAGAGGAGAATGGAGGAGAAGGGATTGCGGCGTGGCCATTCCCCCTGGGGGGTGATTTCTCGCTTTTCTGTCTTTCTGTCTCTCTCTTTCAGGTGAGTGCCCTATAGCAAAAACCTCTCCAAAAAAAATTTTAAAAAGTACATGGAACTGGTTGCAGGAAAGTGTGAAGACCACAGGTTTTACTTTCTGCTATATTCTGCCCTCTTTGGTCAATTATCCTGCTGAAATGATTAGGCGTAGTATACAGAGTCTACACACAGAACTGGCAGAAGACAGTAGAAAGTTAATGTCCAACATGTTAGTAAAAAATAAAATTTTTTATAATTATTTATTTTATTTTATTATGACTTTTATTTGATTTGATTTGATTTTGCTATAGGGCACATGTGCTCATGGGGGAAGGGAGTGAGAAAGCAAACCACCAGGTGGAGGACTGGAACCACAGACTACCATGTGGGAGTCTAGCACCTTAACCACCACACCATCTACTGGTTCTTTTCCTCCCTACAGAAAAAAATCAGCAATTTGAGCAGGACCAGAAACTATACACAGACATGCCTTTTTCTTGGATACCTTTAGAGCAATGGGGAGCTTCCTGGGTTCTGCCTTAATTTTCCTCACAGTCACTGTAGGAATCTGGCCAGGATTCCAGAATAAATACACCTGATGTGCCCACAATCGGTAAGGCATCGCCAGTAAGGGCTTGGGCACATCCAGCTCTTTCCTTGTTTATCAAATACAAAGGCTATTCAAGGGACACAGGCCACACTCCCCTAACTGACAAATGCTAACTTTAGAATTTCACATTGTAAATATTCATTTCTCTCTTTTTGTTTTTTAGAGAGGTTTTTGCTACAGGGCGCATGTGCTCACCAGAAAGACAGAGACAGACAGAGAGCTAGAAAGTGAGAAATCACCCCCCGGGGGGGATGGTCACACGGCAATCCCTTCTCTTCCATTCTCCTCTCGGGATCTTGGGCATGCACACACATGTGCCCGGCGTGAGTTTAAGCCACCAGGTCCGAGACTCGAACCGCAGTCAACTACATGGGAGTTCAGCGACATAGCCATTACACCAACTGCTGGTCCTGGATTCTTGGTAAATACTTCTTAACTGGATAGAAAATGGAGAAGTAGCCTATGCACACTTCAACCTGGGAGCGCACACATGTGAACGGACTAAACTGGAAGGTCTTTGCCAACATTTTCATTGGGTCTCGGGCGTTCTTTGCTGGCTCTTACCTGACATGGTTGTTGCAGAATTTCGTCAGCTGGGGCTGGTTGATGAATATAGTCCTTACTTCCTCCTGGTCAGCCAGTGAGGTCTTCTCTGAAACATCATCTGTCTTCTCGTAACCTTAAAAAGAGATAGTCTGCTTACTTGATAAGCAATGTCTTATTGTACTATCCAGATGAAAGCACACTCATACTGTTCTAGAATGCAAAATCTGCTAAAAGCTGCATACTTCTCATTGGTATAGTTCCTTTATTTTTGGAGATGTTTTTGCTATAGGGCACGTGCGCTCACCAGAAAGACAGAGAGAGACAGAGAGATAGAGAGCGAGAAATCACCCCCCAGGGGGATGACTATGCTGCAATCCCTTCTCCTCCATTCTCCTCTCAGGACCTTGGGCATATACGCACAAAAGCCCGGCATGAGTTTAAGCCACCGGGTCCGGGACTCGAACCACGGTCAGCTGCATGGGAGTTTAGCAACATAGCCATTATGCTAACTGCTAGTTCTGGTATAGTTCCCTTTATAAGTAAAATCCCCACATCTAACATGTCTAAAAGATTTAAATCGCAGAATAGTGAGGTCACCATTGACCCATTTCAAAATCCAGAACATCCATTTAAAATTTTTACTCATCCTTTCCCAATATGTTCATCTTATTTCCTCTCATTCCATAAAAATATGTCCAAAAATAACAAATAATTAAAACTTGTTTACATCATAGTGAAGTAGTGAGACAAAGGTCATTTAAAATCTATTTAACATCTTAAGTATACACATTTACATATGCTTTGAAATTTTTTTTTGGATGAAGACAAAAATAAAAGATTAAAAAATGTGGTATTATCTGTTGAAGATAAATTACAGTTTTATCAACTAGACAAGGGAGAAATGTTCACAAGTGGGGATATTCACTTTGTAAGCTAAATAATGTGATTGCATGTACAAAAGAAAATGAAATTAAAAAAATAAATAAAATAAATAAATAAAAGATAAATATTAGACAACCTGCACACAGATCTAATTCATTATGGCCTAATCTTTCCTCCTTTTAGAATTTATGTTCCCCAACTTTAAATTTCTTAAGATCATTTCGAGTCATTTTAGAATCACTGGATCAAAGTAACAGGTTCAGCCAGCACGTCACTGCAAAGCTGACAGTACTTTTTAAAAAATACACACACGTTCTAGGAGAAAAGATAATAGATAGAAAAAAATTTGAAACTGTTTATTGTACCTTCAAGTAATAAGTAAATGAGACTGGCTGAAATTAATCCCTATTCCTTTGTTAGAAAGAGACACAGCTAGTACTCTCCCTCAAAAACCCTTTCTTCAGGGCTGGCAGGTGGTATGCTGGTTAAAGGCGCTATACTCCCACATGGCTGACCACAGTTCAAGTCCTGGAGCTGGTGGCTTGCTTTCTCTCTCTCTCTCTCTCTCTCTTTTTCTTTCTTTCTTTTTTTCTTTCTCTCTCTCTCTCTGTCTCTTCTCTCTCTCTCTGTCTCTTCTCTCTCTGTCTCGCTCTGGTCAGTGGTGTGGTGGTTAAGGGCACTGGACTCCCTCCTAGCTGACCACAGTTCAAGTCCTGGACCTGGTGGCTTGCTTTCTCACTTTCTCTGTCTTGCTCTGCCCCTTTCTGGTCAAGTTTAAATGGAAAAAAAAAATAAATAAATAAAGTTAAATCATTCTTTTCAAAAAATAATAGTAATGATAAAAATAAGAAAGGAAATAATTATTTTAAAAATACATTTTATTTTCTTCTTTTCACTGCTTAGCCAGTGCCAGCTCCTGCCATGAGACCTGCTGCTACGCATTCCCTTTGGATGCCTTCTGTGAGGTTCGAGTCGAGGAACCGGCCGCTTCCCCCTGCCCTCCCCAGCAAAGCACTTACTGTGAGGTCTTGCTGCTGTCTGTTTATGAGCAAGCCTCCCTCTTCTAGAATAGGAACCCCCAGAGGGCACAGCCGGTGTGTTCCTCATCTCTGCACCCCAGTACTGACGAACAGCAGGTACTCACTAAATGCCAGCCCGGTAAATACCTCCTCCCAACAGGGAGTGGGTATGTGGCCGTTTTTCTTGAGGGCGAGCAAAAGGTTCTCCACCCACTGATAAAGGCCCTCCTGACAGCCAAGGGCTGGTAACCAACCGTAAAGGAAAGCTGGCCTGCCGGCTTTGTGATAGGAAACCAGAAAATCATGGAGGTGTTCCCTGGGACCAGGAGGCACGGGACAATGCAGTGCGGGCAGCCCAGCACAGCGAGGGCAGAATTGCAGAAGCCCCGACAGCAGACACAGAGAGCCAAGCACAGGAGGCACAGGGTTCGAGCACCAGGCCCTTCCATGCTGGTGAAGAAGGCTAGAGCTTGGCACTGAGCCACAGAAAGCTTTCCAAGGTGGACAGGCACTGGGTGAGAGCCCCATTTTGTCCTCTTCATCTTGGAGGTCACCTGGCCACAGACCAGGGACTGTCACCCCACTCTCCCGCTGTAGACGCAGGAACAGCTCTGCAGACGCTCACACGATTACTAGTGACCTTTATTACATCATGTTGCAGACCTGACACACGCTTTCCCTCTTAGTTTTACAGAATCAAAACTTCACATGTGGGGCGCTAGTAGGTGGCTTCGTGGTTAGCGCACTGGGCTCCCACATGGCCGACTGTGGTTCGAGTACTAGACCTGGCAGTTTCTCACCTTCCTTCTTTCTCTCTCTGTCTCTCTCTGAGGAGCACACATGCCCGATAGCAAATTAAAAAATACTGATAAATAATTCTCTAAAAACACTTCACATACGGATCATTGGATAGAACCACAGCAATCTTAAAAACTCTTTATTTTTTAAAGAATTATTTTATTTAGCTTTATTTATTTATTTATTTTTTAATTTGACCAGAGAGGGACAGGGAGAGAGAGAAAGAGAGGGAGGGAGGGAGAGAGAGACAGAGAGAGAGAGAGAAAGAGAGAAAGAGAGAGAGAGAGAGAGAGAAAGTGAGAAAGCAAGCCGCCAGGTCCAGGACTTGAACTGCAGTCGGCCATGTGGGAGTCCAGCACTGCTAACCAGCATGCCACCTGCCGACCCCAGCAATCGTAAAAATTCTTTAAAATTATTTATTTTAAATTATCTCCTTAATTACAGTACAAAGACCAGATCGTACTGCCTCTGGTACTGTTGCCCAGGACAGAGTAGCTCAGAAAAAACCCGCTCAGTTCTCCACGCTGCTCAGAGCGGACCTCCTTAGGTTGTACTTACTTTCTGTGCCTGGACTTCCGAGGGCCTGGCCCTTGGGGGGACGTTCTTAGGTGAGGAGGAAAGAGTTAACTCTTCACGGGGCATACCCATGTACACTGGGGCCTCAGATGCTGCTGGGGGAATTAGTTATAACGCCTCCCCTTTTCTCTCTAGATAGTAATTTATATTTAAGACATTCCATGGTACACAGGACCCTCCTGGGACAAAGAGGATGGGAACCAACCCCTTCCCTAAAATGGGAATCAGAGTAATTAAGGTCATTAAAAAATCTGAATGGATTTAGCCCCCAACTAAGGTCAGATAACAAGAGACCTCTAAAGAGAAAACTCATCAAAATGAGAGAAGAGTCTAGACTGCAGACCTGTTCTCAAGATTAGGGCTATGGAACTAGCAGTTGGCGTAATGGCTATGTCACTGGACTCCCATGTAGTCGACCACGGTTTGAGTCCCAGGCCCGGTGGCTTAAAAACACGCCGGGCGCGTGTGCGTGCGTGCCCAAGATCCCGAGAGGAGAATGGAGGAGAAGGGATTGCGGTGTGGCCATCCCCCCTGGGGGGTGATTTCTTGCTTTCTGTCTCTCTGTTTCTATCTGTCTGGCGAGCACATGCAACCTATAGCAAAAACCCCTCAAAAAAAAAAAAAAAAAAAAGATCGGGGCTATGAAAGGGGCCGTCTGGCTCAAAGCATGGTGTACTACAGGAGCACAGGCTTTCTTTACCAAAGGAGAGCCTTGGCAAGAGGGTGTATGTGAAGTCCAACTTACTCTTGGAGTTATGGGGTTCCAAGCACAGTACTGAGGTGACAGCTACACTGACAGCAGAGACTAAGGCCCTGAACCGACAGGCTGGTGGGGACCCCTTGCCCTGTCTCCTCAGCACTGTCAGAGCCCTGGGGAGATCGACAGTGACATGGAGGTCTCACAGGCACCCGAGGTCCACTTTTGGGGTATCTGAAGGCCACGTCGGCGGGCACTGCCCTGGGCTGTGGACCTTATTTCCTGTTTACACATAGCAGGTGGCAGACACAGCCACCTCAAGGTCCTTTGGAATATTCCCATAAAAGTACCCAGGAAAAAGAGCAGAATTCTTGCTCATTTGGAAGGTAAGTGTTTATAACTACTTTTTTTCCCTTTCTTATCTTTTTTTTTTTTTTGAGAGGTTTTTGCTATAGGGCACATGCACTCGCCAGAAAGACAGAGAGAGACATAGAGACAGATTGAAAGTGAGAAATAGCCCCCCCAGGGGGGATCGCCACACTGCAATTCCTTCTCTTCTATTCTCTTGGGATCTTGGGCACGCACGCACACCCGGTGTGAGTTTAAGCCACCAGGTCCAAGACTTGAACCACAGTCGACTACATGGGAGTCCAGCGACATAGCCATTACACTAACTGCTGGTCGCAGTGTTTATAACTATTATATTGAGTTGTCAGAAAAATCATGACACTCTTTTTTTGCATAGAAAAAGAAAAGATATGTTGGGAACCAGCAGTTAGCGTAATGGCTATGTCACTGGACTCCCACGTAGTTGACTGCGGTTCAAATCCCGGACCCTGTGGCTTAACCTGGTGGCTTAAAATTCACGCCGGGCATGTGTGCGTGCGTGCCCAAGATCCTGAGAGGAGAATGGAGGAGAAGGGATTGCGGCGTGACCATCCCACTGGGGGGTGATTTCTTGCTTTCTGTCTCAATGTCTCTCTCTGTCTGGCAAGCGCACGCGCCCTATAGCGAAAACCTCTCAAAAAAAAAAAAAAAGAAAGAAAGAAAAGAAAAGAAAACATACGTCATGACTTCTGAAAACCCAATCATTTGAATCTCGAGTAAACTCTTAGATTGTAGATATGGTCGGGTTAGGTCTGGATGTACGGGTAACCTATC